AATGGCGTCTTAGCAACAAATGTCACGTGACTGGCGGTGACCGATAGCTTACATTGTGTAAGTTATTTTAAGTCACCAAAGTAAATTCCTGAGCAAAACGGTAGCAGAGAAGTTGGAAGTGGTAAGATTCCTAACGTAAAAAGAAAAAAATGAAATTTCAAAATGCACATGGCAACTTTCCCCATTTGGAAAAAAAATGGGGGAAATTCAGAAATGTTTGTTAACCTTACTTCAAAAAAGAAAACAAAAACAACACAGCTAAAGCTCTCCCATGTTGGCTAGAGAGTACTCGTGAACATCAGTTTTCAAGTTTTCTCATAGATTTGATCTTTTTGGTAACTTGGATGGAGTCACATTAAGCCATGTTTTGATGGAGGTTTCTTGTTCAAAAGGAGTTCTTCTTTTCCACTTAAACACAGAAACCAGGCAAGTATCAAAATATAAAAACCTTGCTGCAAACTCAACAGCTGCACATCAACCATCTATATTTAAGATCAGGTATTATTGATTTTTTTATTTTTTTTTATGTATGAATTTGATTGGATTGTGTTCTATGCATTGTATGCTTGAATAGCATAAGGATGAATTTAAATAAATTTTAACCTGTCCATATTCAGTGATTGGATTATTTGATGCATATTTTGGTCCGTCAAACATAATCCAAATTAAATCTTTTATGGTCTTAGTTCAGACATGAGGTAGTACTTAGAATTTCAGTTCAAGTCTGTCCCTAAGTGGCGATAAAGTCCTAGACAACATTTATGTTCTTCTCAGAGACCTTTACACAAGAGATTTTGTCATCAAGCTTAAACTTGATTGACATTCCCATACCTGGTAAAAGCATGTTAAATTTTTTTGTTTTGTTTTTATATACAGGGTTTTGCCTTTTGCGTTTCTTTTTTGTCTTGCAGGTTATCAGCCAATGAAAGGAGACTGGGTCCAAGCAAAGTTTTATATCAACCCCACGCAGTCGACAACCCAAGCTCAGTCTGTGGCTCCGTTACGCTATAGCCGCCTGGACCAGGTGATATTCATTCTTTATAGTAAAGGTTTTGATGATACCTAGGTTGCTGTGGTGTGAAACCTTGATTAATTACAGATCAGCTCCTTTGGTTCAGTTTTGAGGCTTCCTTCCTTTCGTTTTTAGGTGCGTGTCACCAGTGTTTATAAAAACAACGGAGTGGTGGAGGACATGGTTTACTTCAGCTTGGACTCATTGCTGCTGCCAACCAGCTACAAGCCGACAGCAGGGGACCTGGTCAACTTGGTGATGGTGGAAAGCTCTCAGTCCTTCTACAGCTGGAGGGCCCTTTGCATGGCACCCTGCACTCAGAGGTACTACTGAAAGTCTAATCAGGCTGTGTATGTTTGTGCCAAACTAATGATAAAGGTTTGATGTATAACTAAGTTCACTTTTTAAAAGTTTTCTTTTTCTTTGCTGATCTATAATAATAATAATAATTTTATTTATTGATCTCACATTGGCACTGATCTCTATTTATTCACTGGATTGCTGATTGCGCATGGTTAGGACTGGGTTGAAATGAAGCCATTGGCCGCCATATTGGTACTCTGTAATTAGATCAGTCGCAATTTGAACAATATGTGTCCTACAGCATCGAACAACGATGTTTTCATTTTCAGGGCGGCTTAAGACTTTTAAAATAAAGATAAATTCATCACTTTGACTCACACTTGCTATATAACTTTAAGTTATATAAAAAAAAATAGGCACATCGCTTTGCATAGTCTTATGAAGTAAATTAAGTCTCTTAATCATGTAATACAACATATTATACAAATCCATCACTAAAAAATGTGTTAATGGAGCATAATAATATAGATGTACAAAAGGATGCTACATTGATGATGTGCATTTAATATACATGTATTAATTTCATTTTTATGGTAATTACATCTTGCATATAATTTCAAGATTTTACATGACTGATTTCCAAGTACTTTTCCGTTAAAGCTATAGTATTTTTCTATTTGCAAATTGGGCATGCATGTTGCCGTATACTTTTATACTGTCCATCAGCCTTCAAATCTGACAGATTACAATAGAGCTAAATGAATTAACCAATTTAATAACTCCACAGAGCTTCAGTTTCTACACAAGCAAAATCACATGAATTGGTAAAATAACATCAACTTCATATTTTCATTTTGGTCTTAGTCACAACAAGAATCTGATTATTGAAAACAAAACTGTGTATGTATGCACACATGGACACAAACTCACACATACACTATCCAGTGATTGAATAACTTTATTAAATTAACTTACACATGTAGTGTAAATTCACATTCAAATTAACAAAACAAAAAAAAGAAACAAAAATATAGCCACATGGTGTTTGCTCACTGCTGTTTGAAGGATAATTTTAGAAAACTGTTATAAAAACTGTATATACACATATGCACATATCTTGCAACCTGTAATTAGGGGTGGATGTTGCTGTCCGATCCTGATCTTGATGTAACTAGAATATATACACATATGCACAACAAACACCACAGGAAGTACGGCATCCTCCCCTTAATAAAGAATTACTAAATTTAAATTTCATAGTGAATTACTTTCTATTCCATTTACTATTTTCTCTTTCTATTTTGTAACGAACACAATGTCAATCGCTAACTCGGTCAATATCTTCAAGCTGGCCCAAAGGGAAATTGCCTGTGGAACAAGTTCCCACAGCCAGAAAACTGCTTTTTTTGCAGCGAAATGCTACACATGTAGGCATTTTTACTGCGTGTCTCCATGGGAGTGGGGCGTACCAGCATGGCAGATGGTGGCTTCACTTCTTTTGGGCAATCAGCAATCCAGTGATTAGAGATCAGTGGGTTAAGGGTCTCGCTCAGAGACCCAGACTGCAGGCTATGGGGATCGAACCAGGTTTTTGCAACCTTCTCAGAGCACATGCACACTGCTCTAACCACTAGGTCAGGGGTCTTCAAAGTTTTCCAGGTCAAGGTCCTCCAAACTGATGGTTAGATGGAGGGGGGACCCCCTAATTATATATATTGTATGAAATTGTGTTATCAAACTGGTCCTATAGTCAGACTATTACAGATGGAGAAATGTAAC